GAGAAATTACTGTGCCACAAGGAAGGAACTGCTAGCCATTGTCAAAGCCGTCAACCACTTCCACAAGTATCTATACGGACAGGAGTTTCTGATCAGGACCGACCACGCTGCCCTCTCGTGGCTACTGCAGATAAAGAATCCCGAGGGCCAAGTAGCGCGTTGGCTGGAACGACTACAGCAGTACCACTTTAGGATCAAACACCGAGCGGGTCGACTTCACAACAACGCTGACGCTTTGTCAAGGCGTCCGTGTGGAGAGTGCAAGCACTGCGACAGGATCGACGCGGAAGAAGGGAACCTGCCCGTTCGTCGGACGATTTTTGAGCAAGATGAAGAATGGACAACGGCGCGGTTAAAGCGTGAGCAAGAAGCAGACGACATAATCGGACCAATACTAAAGTGGAAGGAGGAAGGAGTCGAACGACCCGACTGGGCAGAATTGTCCGACCAATCCCCCAGTTTGAAGGCATTATGGGCCCAATGGGATTCCTTGGTCATGGAAAATGGGCTCTTGAAGCGAAAGTGGGAGAGTCCTGATGGGCGTACCTCTAAGACGATGCTGGTCCTCCCCAAGGTAAAGGTTTCCAAGGTCTTAGAGGAAGTTCATGCCGGAACATCTGGAGCCCACTTCGGAGTGAACAAAACTTTGTCGAAAATCCGGGAGAGGTTTTATTGGGTAGGTCATCGTGACGATGTCGAAAGTTGGTGTCGCAAGTGTACGACGTGTGCGGCCAGCCAAGGTCCTCATACCAGGGCGAGGGGAAAGATGAAGAAATATAATGTTGGGGCACCTTTCGAAAGAATCGCCATCGATGTGGCCGGTCCGTTCCCTGTAACAAACGACGGCAACAAGTTTATCCTGGTGGCTAGCGACTACTTCAGCAAGTGGCCAGATGCCTATGCCATTCCAAATCAGGAAGCCGTCACGGTCGCGAAAGTACTGGTTGACAATTGGATCAGTAGGTTTGGCGTCCCCTTGGAACTTCACTCAGACCAGGGACGCAATTTCGAATCCAACGTCTTCCAAAGAGTGATGCAGCTACTGGGAATACGTAAGACAAGGACAACGCCACTACACCCACAGTCCGACGGCATGGTGGAAAGGTTCAATCGGACTATGGAGCAACACCTTTCGAAAGTGGTAGAAGAGCACCAAAGGGATTGGGACCAGCACCTTCCACTATTCCTGCTGGCCTACCGCGCAGCTATCCACGACACCACGGGCCAAACACCTGCTCACGTTGTATTTGGGAAGGAACTGCGGCTGCCCTGTGACCTAGTCTTTGGATTGCCATCCGAAGAACCGATGGAAGTACGTGACTACGTGGACGAACTGAAAGAGAAGTTGGTCAACGTACATGAACTAGTGAGGGGCCGGATCAAGATTGCCAGTGACCGAATGAAGACCCGTTATGATGTGAAGGCCAACTGTGGCGGATTCCAGGAAGATGACTTAGTGTGGCTGTATAACCCCCGACGGAAGAAGGGACGTTGCCCAAAACTGGCTCCTGACTGGGAAGGTCCATACACTATCGTCACTAGAATAAATGACGTAGTTTATCGGATCCAACGTGGACCAAAGACGAAGATGAAGATCGTTCATCTCGATCGACTAAAACGGTACGAAGGAAACAACGAAGACGCTTCCGATCGGGACGATCGGATTTGAAGAGGGGGGCAGTGTTACGAAATACACCCTTACGCCGCCCCAGTACGACGCCTACGGCGGTCGAGAGCCTTCTGGACGTACGCACGGCGCTGATGGGTGAATCATCGCTGTTGACGGCCGAGAGGCGGGCGCATAAAGACAGGTCTGGAGCGTCTCGAAGCGGCGTCCAGGGGAGTCTCGAAGCGGAGTCGCGATGGATGTTCGTGAAGGATCTCGATCAGAGACTATGGGTTTAAATAGAGGCGACCGTAGGTAATGGATTCATTCATCCAGTGAAGACAGTCGAGAGCGCCGGAATAATTTCTGTACATATTCGTTGCAATAGATAGTGTTGTAATTCGACCTGAAGAAATAAATTTTTGAGTTTTACCAACGCCCGATTTATTATTCGTCCGTCAATCGTAACAATATTCTAACTTAGATCTTATTAATGTGTAAAACCACAATTTAATGCAATGGATATTTTTAAATTCACTGGTGTTTCTTATTATAAAACCTAGATTTTTTAAACATGCTTTTACAGTTGCTTCAATATGCGGGTTTCAAGGTGTTCGGATTTTTTTTCTTTTTTGTATTGAGTATATAAATAGCTATTATATGTTTATACATCATAAGAATGTCACGTAGAAATTAGATATTGTCTTTGCCAGTTCTATTGAAACACCACCTGTTGATTTTGCTTAAAATTTAGCAATTTGTAACAGCTTTCAGTTGATTGACAACGGCTTTTAGTTAGAAAATTATTTGAATATGAGCGTTGCCAAATTTACGATTAACAAGTGGTGTTTCAATAGAAATGGCAAAGACTATAGTTTGATTTGAACGAGTTTGTCGCACAAGCTACTGTGTTAGGTAGCCAAGGTGGATGGTGCACCAGGTTCGTCGGTTGGAAGAGACAGGCGACCGGACTAGCTACAGATGGAGAAGGGGTGGGTCGAAGTCCAAATGACGTAGCTATCGGGAGCGGCGCCACTGCCTGTCAAGATTTCTCCCTGTAACTCTAGCTCTTAGCAAACGACGACTCCGAAGGCAGACGTATGACTAAAACTAAATTAACTTCACTACCTGGACCTCGTCACCTACTGATCGCTTCGTGGCGAAGGTCGTGACCAGACGACAACTCAAAAAAACACTGCTCAAGTTAAAATAGAATAAAAGCGGTTTAATTTGGAAATAAAAAGATTTACACTGCGAGCTTAAATAAAACGGTGGAGTGAACTTAAATAAATTATAACATGATACAATGAAATGAACGACACGAATTTGGGTTAAGTAGGTACAGCTATCCAAATAGGGTTAATCAACAGGATTTCCTGGAATCGGTAGTACATCGGAGGCGCTACTTTCCGCTATTTGATTGGCCAATCTAATACTCGAAACGATAGTTTTCTACCCTAGTACTACTTATCTGTACGCCGAGGCGTTCTTGGCTTTCTCCGGGGACGATCTACTTGTCCTAGACCGGATAGGCTGGTGAGGTTAATCTATGAACTTCACCATGATTTCATTGTTTATGATAAGGTTATGTTGAGATCTGAAATAGTTGAGGAGTAATTTTTGACAAGAAACTTAGTTTTCGAGAACATATTAATAAAATCGTCATTTCTGCACTTACAGTTCTTGGCTTCATAATACGGAACTGTAAATCTTTCGACAATGTGTTTGCATTGAAATGTATATATGACGCACTTGTGCGGTAAAAACTTGAATATTGTTCACTAATATTTTATCCGCATTATGCTTACCAATCTATTTTGTTGGAGAATGTACAAAGACGATTTTTAAAGTTTTTGTATTATAAGAGCTATTCTCAGTATCCTGTGCGTCATATTGAGCAAAATTTATTGTTAATTTATTTTAATATGGGATCTTTAAGATAACGAAGAATCACGCAGTCAGTAGTATTTCTTTATAAATTAATTCAGGGCGCCATTGATGATATGGCAACCTTAAATCAAATCAATTTTTTGTGCCCCGACTAAATTCTTGACATCCCATCTATTTCCAATTGCCTCGATGTCATACTAATGTTCAGTGGCGGCTCGTGGTGATTTTTGATGGGTGGGCAAAGCATTATAGGTAGGTTATAACATGTATGAAAAAAATATATATACATATATATAATTAATCATCTTTGTGAGAACGTGTTTTTGTTTTGGTGCTGCATGTCAATCAATATAATGTAACAAAAATTTTATGTAAGTATATTACATATATATTATTTTATAAATATTACTTACAATGTCGTTCAGCAAGAACCAACCAGAACGTCGAAGATTCTTGCTAGAAGAGGAAAGAGGAGCAAAAAAAGATTCAGCACATAAATGGATTTGTTAGGAGTTTCTAGAACTATAAACTCAAATAATTATTCCAAGATGTAAAGATTTTGAAATAACATGACGAGAAAACGTTAAATTTTGAACCTTTAAAATAAGCTACACTTGGAAAAAGCAGCAATTTGGAAAATTATTGTAAAAGCAAAATTAAAAATGCCAAATGAAACAAAAAAATAAATTCTCAAAATACTAACAAAGTTAACAATAACAAATAAAATAAAAATAATTCCAAAATAATCGTTCTGATTGGTTTTAGAAAGACCATTAATTACCAAAGACTCCTCCAAAAACTTTTTAAATTTATCATCGAATTTACTTTACGAGAAATTTGCAATTCATCTTGTCCCCGAAATATATGTTTTTGTGGAGCCAATTACCGTTTGGTAATTTGAATAAGCTACATTTTATAATTAAATGCACTATCCTGAATGCAGTTTCTGATCTGACTGAATTCAATTGACCAGTAAAGTGAATGACGCGCGAAATTTGAACTCAGTTCATAACACGAGACCCGAATTTCAATTCCCCGTGTAATCCTTATGGGTGAAATCGAGGCGTCATTTTAACGCTTAAATTCTACCATTAAAGTAATTTTCTTATATATACCACTACTTGTACCATTAAGACTCATATTTTTACTGTTGATCTTGATACCAAACACGAACGGAACCGGTGGTATTTAATAAATATTTGAATTCAACTTTTACCACTACATTTGCCTCGAACGTATGTCGCACAGTGGTTCATACTGCCATTGACTTCCCCCTCCACATAAATGGCTTTGATTTTCACATGCTAGAGATACGGCTGTGAATTTAAAATGATACATAAAGGAGATCTCATATTTGCAAATGTTTTCAATCAATTGCCAAATTTTGATTTAAGAATCATCATCAATCCCAAGCTTTTTTCTTTTCACATTTTTTGGTAGAAAATGAAAATTTTACTTTCATTTTAGTACGAATTGGGTCTGAAACACCCATTTAAAAAAAATCACAATTTAAAGACCAATTTATTTCAAAACAAAAAAAATATATTCTACAATAAAAAATTGCACCGCCTAATGCAAAATCTGATTCACTTTTGGTGAAAAACTGACCCACAAACTGTTATATTGATGGGCCATTTAAATAGTCCTCGGACACTAATAGTTCTTCGACACTGTGAAGTAGATTTTCTTCAGATCTTTCTGGTTCAGGGCCCAATAGCCAAAGCAGTGCTTCGCTCCCATCAGTTTGTCGTAAGCTTTCATAAAGTTGTACCTCAACATTAGCTGTTTTTAGGTTGACTTGGGGATTAAAAGAATTTTCGGAGATCACAGCTCTGACCTCGGCTGATTCACTTTTCTTCAGATGTACGTTCCAAGAACGCAAATTATTGGTCCAAAATAAATTATAACGCCCGTGTAGGGCAGGTGTAGCCATATGGTGACATACAAATGCACCTCTTGTGGTTTCACTTGTTGCCTCTCTTAAGGAATATCTATGCAAAATGAAACAAAATACCTCATAATTGTACTGGATACAGAATTTATCAATATACATTAACTTACCATTGGCTATTTCGCATTCTAGCTCGAATAAACTCTTCAAGCACATTTAATTCAGTATACCAAGTGACTTTCACTGCATTATTTGACTGCAAAGAATTTTATCCGTTCACAATGCATTTCCGATCGTCAACAAAAAAAAAACTGGTAATTGCCCCTATTGTTAACGCATGTCTTTCTGTCACTATTAATAACAAATACAATAAAACCAGTCCACAGACATATACAACCTAATGTGAACCAATATCACAGAACTAATATATCATCCAAAAATTGTGATTATGATTGTTTGTTGTGATGAAAATACGAAATCAACTGTCATATTTTGGGGATTTTCACGATCTAAACGTCACTGGCCCTCCAAAACATTCGCGTTCCTTTTCTGTTCGGCGTGTTTCTGGATTTTCCGTTTCACTCATGCGCAAGGCATTAGAAACGATGTACGTTACTTTGATGAACAACGTTGTTTTTAATTTGCGATATTTTTTTAACACAAGCTTTTTATATAGTTAAACCTTTAGTAACAGGAAGATAATTGTACAGTCTTTATCGCTTGTAGCATGAACTAGTTAAGATTTCTACCTGTGCGGTGTATTTTGTCTGTAAAATCAAGCTCCCATAAGAAACCCATAGTAGAATTTTTGAATTATGAACTGCCGCGCATTCTAAATTCTAACCTTACTTTACTGGTCAATTGAGTCGTGTCTCCGACGAGGACGAACCAAGCCGAGTGTTACCGATTTTCAGGGTGGGTTTGCCCACCCATCCTAGAGCGAACGCGTAACAAACTTGTGCGGACAGTCTGAATTAAATAAAAAATTTAGCGTATATTTAACTTTTGTTGACTCTGCTACAGTTATATTTATGAAACAAAAATGCATATGTAATAATAAAAAAATACACATGTCACATACGTACTGCAATAATAAGTGTATTACTTATTCTCATCATTGGTTATTCGGATTTTTAAATTTATAATTCATTATAAAGTTTACACGGTGTCATAATACAAGAATATGGTTATTACAAATTTTCATTTGATATGAAAAAGTATTTATTAATTGTTATGGTGTTGCTCTTTTCTATAACAATATTATTTAAGAATTTTCGCATAACATTATTTTCCTTACCACCTTACCCATATTTCAATAGAGTAATAAAAATAATTACCTCTATACTTTTACAATACAAAAGAAGTAAAAAAATCGAAATTAATTTATTGAATCCTTGAATCGAATATCAGAGATCCGATTCTGCAGCGTTTGGGATATACGTTGACGCCCGGGCTTCCTGCCCCGCTTGAAGCAAGAAAACACGGATATGCAAAGAAGTGCGTTTCGAATTCTTTACTCTCAATCACGTACATAGAAAACCGAACGTATGTCGTTGCTTATAATCAAGAGAATGGACCAGGGTGGACTAGCCCATCCTCACATGAACCGTATAACGCCGAGATCTGACGCACTCTTTTGCAACTGCAATTTCTCAGTTGCGGAAACTGCGGGATGTAATGAAGAAAATCCGTTGGCTTAAATGATGTTTATGACGATAATTATTTGTGTATACATATAAAATATTTTAAAAAAGAAAAAATCAATATTTTACTTCGTATCGTAAACAATCAAATAGGGTGGGCATTACAAATCACCGTTGTATGTTATTTGCAAAAATGGTAATGATATTTGTGAACAATGTGACATATATGCAGAAAATCTTCGCGCAATAATTTGTAAATGTACGGTGATATTTAATGGTGTACTGTAAAGAGTAAAAGTGATAATCTCTTAAGTTGATGAAATTGTTTTGAATAATTGAGAATTTCTTTGTTAATTTTTATGTAATATAGTTTGATCTGATTTATATAATTTGAATTTATTTATTTACATTTATTTAGATATGTTTAATTTTGTTTTATTTTATTTAGTTTTAGATATTGTCCTGTAATTGGAGTAATCTGTAGAACAATAAATGATTATTATTATTAATGTTAATATGTTAATGAACAGGAGATATAACATATCACCTTATCTCCTTCATCATAAGGCTGTACCAAGAGGGCAACAAGACCATATGCGGAGCCGTCAGTCTGCACCACAAATGGGCGATTATAATCGGGACATGTCAAAACTGGAGACTGAGATTCGTCAACGGAACTACAATGCTAGAGACATTCGGCACGAATTTCCGATACCATGCAGCCATACCCAACAATGAGCGAATCTGTGTCACATTCGTCGGGAGTGGGGATTTCTACTATCGATTTGATCTAAAAGGGGCTACACGAAGACCTTCTTTTTCAACAACATACGCCAGGTATTTTAACTGTGGGCGACAAAAATGACATTTCTCCAAGCTAAGGGTTAAACCAGCAGCTAACAATCTGTCCAATACCTCTTAGGGTGGGTTTTTCCATCTCTAGTTAACTTGTGGTTTAACCTAACTCACAGTTAACTAGGCCTGCAGCGTTTTTCCATTTTCGTTAACTAACGGTTTAAAGTTAACTTCTAATTTCATTTAACCAGAACTCAAAGTATCAGTTAACTAGTAGTTTCATATTTTGACGTTTGATTTTATAATACTGTCATCAGTAAAATGATGGATTTCGTCGATATTAACGTTTATAGCGACGATGAGGAGGTGCCTGTACGAAAACAAAGAGTTTTAAGGGAACGTATAAACCATTTTGAAAAATGGGATAGAAAAGAATTCTTACAAAGATAAACGTTTGCAACTTTTTTTTTTAAATTAACGTATTTGCATTTTAAAATTTGGACCCCTTTAAATTACCCCCCAACAGTGGAATTGAATTCATCTGGAATGGTACGCCAGGTATTTGCCTTCTGCTCCCATGTTACCTGGCCACTTTTTTGCATTCAATTATATTTCTATTTTTATCAACCAATTCGGTCAAAATCCTTTCCTCTTCTTTCGTAAAGTTAGAACACCGCTTTGTTTTCTCTGTGTTACTCATTTTTGTACAAAATAATCACACCAGAAGAATTTGAATGACATTTATCACAATAAACAACAGATTTGTGAAACGTTGCCATAGATACCAAATATAAATCATAGTTAACTGTTAGTTTTCTAACCAAATTTACAAATTTGTTGGAAAAACGCATTCAAAATTAACTGCTAGTTAACTTGGAGTTAAAGTTAACTAAAAGTTACGAAACCAGAGGTTAACTACATTTTGGAAAAACCCACCCTAAGTGTGTTTCAAAATCTGAAGTCAACACAATCATATCGCCTAAATAGACAACAACATGAGGCTCAAGATCAGCACCGAGAATTGTATCGACGAAACTCTGAAAAGTAGCCGGGGCATTAGTAAGTCCGAATGGCATTCGCTTGAAATGAAATAAGCCACGTCCCCGTATCGTAAACGCTGTAAACTCTCTTGAATTTTCGTTAAGTGGAATGTGCCAATATGCTGATTTGATGTCGATGAAACTCAAGTACCTAGCACCTCTCAAGTTATCCAAAATAGATGAAACATAGGGCAACGGGTAAGTGTCTTTTCGAGTAACCGCATTCAGTTTCCGATAATATAATCAATCACCAACTTATATTCCCCGGACGTCTTCTTTGGAACCAACACAGGCGGTAACGACCACGAACTGTTGGAAGGTTTAACAATGTCCTGTTACAACATTTTGTCCAACTCTGTCTCCAATAATTTTTGTCTTAATGAGTTCACTGGGTAGTACCTCTGTTTGATGGGGGTAGTGGATTCTACTATCTCATGTTCAACCTTTCCGGTAATTCTTATTTTATCCGGTGTCATACTTCTGATCTTATCTCGTATAAGAGAGTCTAACGATGCACGTTGTTCACAGGTCAAATTACCTCTCTCGAATTCCCTCAGCTGGCAAAATTTCATTGGGGGACTCACTAAAATGCCAAACACCTTTCTTCAAGTCGGGTACTATGCCCATTTTCACCCAAAATTTATCCCAGAATTAAAGTTTTCCAAAAGGATGGAACTACTACGACTCTAATCAAAGAAACTTTCCCTAACACTGATCGGGACTGATACTGACCCCATACTTTTACATAACTCGACATTTCCTACTCTCAAACCTGGTCATTCACTATCTAGACAAGTCACTGTGCACCGGAATCTAATACTTAATCCTAAAATCTTTCTACCGAAATTTCTAAATAAGGTCTTTTATCACCAGGAAATTGTTGTAGCAAATATTCTAGTAATAATCACGCGATTTGGGTCAACTAACCGACGATCTACTGACACAACCTCGAGTTTCCCTCTTTCGGAGGTGGTCTGTTGCATTTAGGACATGTTCGGATGGTTATGTTAGAAGTTTTACAACGGTGGCAACGACGACGAATGGGCTCCTCACAGAAATGTCGTAAAAGTGGAGATTGGTATGTAGGTACTTAGCAAAGGGATCGAGATAAATTATTATTCATTCTGTCGTATCTATAAGCGCCTTATTAACAGTGTGAGCGTTCAAAAAAGTTCTGAATGAGAAAACATCTTTGGTTTTATCATGGATTAAAGATAATCCAGAACTAATTTGTAGTGAGCAAAAAATTGTCTGCAAAGAATGCAATAAACTCCAAGATTAATTGTTAATATATAAATTCAAATTTCTTTGCACCAAATTTATTAAAAAATATACATATTTAATTTTTTAAACTATCAAACGTAATGAAAATAATACTTTTTCACTTAAAACTGTAACGAGAGTTTTTTCACGATTTATCTATAACTTTTTAATTTGACAGTTGTAATAATTTTAAAACCATTTTTTATTAAAGAAAAATGACGTGTAACACGTTTTGAAAGCTATTTTTTTCAATCGTTTAATTGACAAACTTTAAACTTGTGAGAAGAAAAGCTTGAATCACTTACTTGAGCGTCTAATCAATAAGACGAATAATCCAAATGAACATTACAGTAGCATACCGACGAGATGTGTCAGCATTAAAAAAAATATTTTACAATATTTTCACTTTTTTGCACTTTGGTTTAATCGGAAATGAGCCTAATAGTTACCGTTTTTATGGAACTCGTATGTATTTATTTTGACACTTTTTTTAGAAATAATGAAATTTTTGAGAATATAGCACATTAATTTATTTTCCTCATTCATAACAATTACTTATTTCTCTATAAAAGCTATCATTTTTCGCCTGCGATCAATTGTCGCATGCGACCAGTTGTACTTGCGACGAATTGTGTTGCGATCAATTGTGACTGCGACCAGTTGTCGTTGCGACCAGCTGTTGCTGCAACCAATTGACGCTGCGATCAGTTGTTTGCGATCAATTGTCGCGCGACGAATTGTGCACGACGAATTGACGCGGTACCCAACTAACCGACGATCTACTGACACAACCTCGAGTTTCCCTCTTTCGGAGGTGGTCTGTTGCATTTAGGACAAGTTCGGATGGTTATGTTAGAAGTTTTACAACGGTGGCAACGACGACGAATGGGCTCCTCACAATCTCTCACAAAACAACCTTGCTGATCACAGTTGAAACATACTACCGAAGATAAATCATTCATTCAGCTATTCACATCCGGGATACAATTTTCAACTTCTGCAGTGACACATGCCAACTCTGGCTCTACGTAATAAGCTCTTCGACGCGAAGATGGATGGTAATTATCAACCCGATCCTTGACCTCGATCCGCAAACATTCCTTCTCCAATTCT